GCTATACAATCGTGTATTTTAGTCGTGTAATTTGGGCAAATCGGATAAACTTAACGTTCATATTGTCGTTCATACACACGATGATGTTGGTTGGTTGAAAACAGTCGATCAGTACTATTATGGATGTGAGTCACATGTATTTATGATTGTATTGCTCTTTGTCTGTTGTATAGCACATAAAGAAATTGAGAAACGAGGTGTTCAATACATTCTCGACTCAGTTATGGAAGCATTGGTGGATAATCCTGACCGTCGATTCATTTACGTTGAAATGGCTTTCTTTTGGCGTTGGTGGAACCAACAATCAAACGACACACGTGACATCGTAAAGCAACTAGTAAACGAAGGTGTGTATTAGTTGAACTGATGAGATTTAATCCGGACGTGTGTGCGCTAGGTCGCTTGGAATTTATTTCGGGTGGCTGGTCAATGGTTGATGAAGCGACAACACATTACAATTCAATTATTGACCAACATGCGTTGGGTGCCGAATTTTTGTATGAGACATTTGGTGACTGTGCACGACCGAAAATTGGCTGGCAGATTGATCCATTTGGTCATTCTCGAGAAGTTGCTTCGCTCTTCGCCCAGATGGGGTTTGATGGTCTGTTTTTCGGACGTGCAGATTATCATGATCTCATCGATCGTTCGACGAAGCGAACGAGAGAAATGATCTGGCAAACAACTTCTAATTTAGGTGAGTACTTACCTTCTGTAAATTCTTAGCTCAAAGACCTTCTCAGATCCTCAAAATTGGCTTTTCACGGGTATCTTACCACTTTATTATTTTGGTCCACCATCATTCTGCTTTGATATTACTTGTCGCGATCAACCGATCATGGTATGTGTATCGTATCCTATCATCGTCGTGATACAGTTGAATAGTTTTAGGATGATCCTAGTTTACACGATTATAATGTGCCTGAACGTGTCGAAACATTCATTGGTGAAGCATTAGCGCAAGTTTGTTCATAACAAAGTCATAGTTTTCCTCGTATTCTTCTCTTGTTCGAGTAGGCTGAAATCTATGCAACTAATCATATCATTATGACAATGGGTGGTGATTTTTTCGCCGAAAATGCACATCGTAACTTCAAAAACTTGGATAAGTTGATCTATTACGTTAATCTACAAGTAATTATATGTCCTGTCGTGAATTCCTTCAATTATTGCCAAGATTTTCGTTTTAGCAAGAGAATGGTAGTGATGTGAATGTCTTTTATTCAACACCCTCCTGTTATCTGTATGCATTGAATAAAGCCGGAAAGAAGTGGTCAACAAAAACTGATGATTTCTTGCCGTATGCCAGTACACCCTTCGTATATTGGACAGGTTATTTCACTTCCAGACCAGCGTTGAAACGTTACGAACGTTATGCTAATAATATTCTTCAAGCGACCCGTCAGCTAAATGGATTTTCGCAGATAAATCGACGAAACGTTATTTTTTCTTTCAGTAAGAGAATAGAATACGTACAGATGTTGAATTTAACAAATATTCATCTCTTGAAAAAGGCGAAGCGATGGGCCTAGCTCAGCATCATGATGCAGTCAGTGGAACGTCGAAGCAACATGTTGCCGATGATTATACTCAACGACTCTCCGACGGTATTGACCGAGCGACAGTATGTTTTGATGTGATGCATACACTTGCAGGATGAAGAATCCTTGTAGGAAGTGATCAATAGTGCCTATGGAAAATTATTACCGAAAGAAGGTCAAACAGCATCAGTTCCTAATCAATTTCTTTGTCAATACTCGAATATCAGCGAATGTCTTCCAATTGAAGGACAAGAACAGGTTCGTACATATTTCTTGGTGGAAAATGAGTATCAGAACTTGTCGTCTATCCATAGTTCACAGTGACACTTTGGAATCCAACTATTCATCCAGTGACAGTCTATCATCGAGTACCTGTCACAAAACAGTATTTAATTTACGATCCAATAGGAAATCTTGTTTCAGCTGAAGTACAGAATCAATAATTTACGTATAGTACGAAGAAGTGTTATTCTTTTTGTATAACTTTAGTATCTCCCAATTCCAAATACAACCAAAAGTATTCCTGGTCGAATGAGCTCTGCTCAAAATCAATATCTTTTTGAAGTAACATTACCGGCACTTGGTTATAATACTTATTACTTTCAAGCGAAAGGTCAACAAGGAGCAGGTAACAAGAAGAATACAATAACAACAGAAAATCAAGCATGTATGCTACAAAATGAAGTAAAATATCATTTCTTAATGCTCTTGTCAGCAACTTTCATATTGTTTCTCACTAGTATTTGCGTGTGGAATTCGATGATCTCGGTAATTTGAAACGCATGGTCAATTTGGCAAAGAATTTGACCGTTTCATTTATCGAGCAAGGTTTATATTGGTATACTGGTAAGTGACATCATTCAAAATACGGAAATAAATTCATTTCTAAGGTGTATTCAAGGTTATGCTCATGCCAATAGTAGCGCAGTGTCACCCTCGTCAGGTGCTTACATATTCCGACCGTTGTTTCCACAAGCGCAACCTGTCAGTATATTACGTCGCATGTAAGTCATTCTTTTGACTTGATTATATTTATTTTATGAAAACTATAATAGAAATTGTACTTACACTGATACGATGCAAAAAGCATCGATTGTTTTCAATAAATGGGCCAGTTATGAATTTAATCTGTATCGGAATTCGTCAGTAGTTGAAGTCGAATGGATCATGGGACCGATTCCAATCGATGACGATTCTGGTAAAGAAATTATTATTCGTTTTAATACGGATATCAATAATGCGAAGAAATACTATACGGACGCTAACGGACGACAAGTTCTTGAACGTATTCGTGATTATCGACCAACATGGCACCATGTACCTGACGATCCAATTAGTAGTAACTATTATCCAATTAATAGTCGCATCTGGATTCAAGACGAAAGCCGACAATTTACCATTCTTACCGGTAATTTATAGTTATTCATGACTATGAAAACTTACCTTTTTCTTCGTGTACTTGAGATCGATCGCAAGGTGGTGGAAGTATGTACGATGGATCAATTGAAATTATGATCCATCGTCGATTATTACGAGACGATTCGATGGGTGTCCGCGAAGCTCTAAATGAAACAGCCTACGGCCAAGGTCTAGTTATTTCCGGGAAACATATTCTCGTTCTCGATCGACCATCAGATAGCGCTCGGTTGCATCGTACGACAGCTCAGCAGTTATTTATGCATCCACTAGCAACTTATTCCTTGCCAAATACATCCCTTTCGAATTACTCAACTAAATTTCGTCAAACCTGGTCAGCTCTATTGGACACGATGCCATTGAACGTACATTTGTTAACATTCGACCAATTGTCACCTAAGCAATATCTTATACGTGTCGAACACTATTTTGAAGCGAACGAAGATGCTTTCTACTCGAAACCAGCTACCATGAATCTTCAAACAATGTTCAAAAGTATAGGTAACATAAAAGATGTGATGGAATTGATATTATCTGCTAATTTGCCATTGGCTGATCTGCATCGACTTAACTGGACAGCAAAAGACCAACAACCATCACACAAGAATACACTTCGTAAGTCATATTTTCACTCGTAGACATTTATATTCTATTTTTGATTGTTTTTAGGACAATCTTCGTTAAATGGGACAACAATAATTCTCGATCCAATGCAAATTCGAACATTTCAAATCGACATCGTCTAAATAGCTTCTGTTTTTAGAGTTTACTGTTTTTATCATGGGCGTCATAAAAATCAATCGCATCACTCTGAAAACTAACAACTGTTGCTCACATAGTATTGACTCTTTCCATTTCATTTTTCCCATTCAGTGTCACATCTCTGATAAACAAGAAAAAAAAATTGTCATATTCGAATAAAGTTCGGAAGGTCATATACGGTTGATTTTCATGCATTCTTATACAATCAGTGCGAAAGATTCTCGATAATTTCATGTATTTTCCAATAAACACAAAAGTCATGCTTATTATTCGATTCTCGAAGATTCACATGTCTCTTTGTGCGATGCGTAGAAATCAAAAGGCTAAGGGGTAACATAATGAGAGTTTTATGAGCAGGAATAGCCTAGAAACACTCAATAGTCTTAAAACGGTAGTTTTTGAAGATATCGATGAAATTCCGTAACGAAGCATTTTTTAACAAAACTACATGAAAATATAGTTGATATTGAAGGAAAGTGATACATGTGATAGATCTTGCCAATAGCTATCTCACTGTGAAATTTTTATAATATTGATATTCAATACGAGTAAACAGGACAGATTATAAGCTGTTTTCGTTACGGAATTTCTTGAAAGATGAGAATATTTTTTCAATCGATACACGAGCTATCTGATAATTAGAACTTATTTCTGTTAAGTTCGCGTCCACAAAGAACAAGTCAAACTACATCTATTAGCGCCAAATTTGAATCGATGAAATCTATTTATCAGTACCTAATAACAATTACTTTCTAGTGTCATAAATACCTTCACTTACTAGCATGTCGTTGGAGGAGAAAAGGGCTTTAGTCCTCTTTCACCGACAAGCATTTAACTTCTAATGACATGTATTTTATACACTGTGAACAATGCGCTTTCGATCAACAGATCAAACTCCCTTCACTTTTGATATGAAACCTTCCTCATAGATGGGTGACTGCTAGCTTGTTTTTCCCAGCGGACAATGCATTTCTGATGCTCATCAATATTTTGACAGAATTCTACCAACTGCAGTCAAAAAGTAAAAATGTCGAGAGTGAAAATGGCACAAATGTCGGAGGAAAGAAGTGTCGAAAATGACAGATAATGAAAGTAGGCAATCTCCTTCATTCTCACCATCACCTATGTTTTCGACATTTTTACTTTCGATCAAATCTCGGATTACCTTCCAACTGTGTAGTATTGCACAACAATTGAGTAATAACATCTTCTCTGATATAAAAAACGTTGTCATAAAATTGCCTTCATATTATACACTACCAAACACACAACTCGGAAAACATGGCTAAACGTTGTCCAAATTGCAATGCTATTGATTCATTAGCAACAATTTTTAGCAAAGCATGTGATGGAAATTTTGTTACTTATGCCAACGGTGAAGAATCTAGTGGTTATCTGCCAAGTGTTTCCGGTCTTTGTGATTCAGATGGACTCTGCATTGAAATATGCATCGCATGTGGTCAACTCAAAGGACTTGATCATGTTGCTTTAAAAAAAAAGTTTAGTAATAATCGTGATGACGACGAATAAAATGGCATCAAACATTGATGATTCATCGTTTCGTTTTTATAGAAGCGACATTAGCGACACAGTTTTGTAACCAATAAATAGGAATTCTACATGAAGACACTCGAATATACTTCTATTCTGTTTTTTAATAAATACTTCCAGCGTTCAGAAGTTGATATCGTTGTTGGTTATAGACGACGTCAAGATGGACGATGGTGATGCTAGAATATTCACAGAAGAAAATATTGGCAATTCGGCCCTTATATTTCTCGATTGTTTTAACTTCTGGTCAGTTTCTTTTGATGGTAATTCATTTAAACATTTAAAACCGGTTCTTATATCTAGTTTAATGATAGATGAACTGTCAGACAATGTAAAGCACAGTTTACGTTTCAGATCATCGATATTCATATTTCAAACCTCACAAGGATCCGCCAGATAAATGAAAACATGGAGCCGAATTCATTTGTTGAATTTTCAAAAGTAACGCTTGATAAACACCTAAACGTTGCTCAACGAAACGATAAAAGTCGTCCCCAGATCGATCAATCCCGTACTCGGATCCAGCATCGGATTTGTTGACCTGGGTAGGATATCATGGACTTGGGTTCAGCACAAACAGTTTACAGCAACAGCATCATCATCATCGTCACAAAAAAGCAGCAAAGAAAGTTATTTTTATCTCTAAAACAGTTTACTTGTCTATTGAAATTAATGCTCACACTTTGCCGTGTATGATTTACCAAAAGAAGCCTTGAATATATATACACATATATCTATTCAATTCTCAATCATGTGAATCAATGTTTCGCAACGCTAGATCATTAAGTGGTACATTTTGTACGATAATTAATTTTACAGTTATCGGTTTTCTGCGTCGATCACAGAAACTTTCCATATTATTAGGAATTAAATGTAATCACTTAACCAGGAAGAATCAGAGTAATTCGTTATTGTTTTCTATTCACCACAAATACAAACACGATGCTAGTCGAGTACCTTCGCAAAAACTAGATGATATATTGATCAAAGAGATGTGGAAACTATAATTTCGGATGCGTTTGAACAGGCTCTTCGATTAACTGAACGCGGTTAGAAAGATCAGAAACGCTAAAGAGATATAATCTTTTTGACATGAATCTATTGAGCAAATATGTATTTCGATAATCTAGTATAAACTCAATAATGTTTGATTATTCTACCCAGATAACACACGATGAAGAAGATGATCAAGATAATGCTGATAATAACCTAGCTACAGTTAAAGACAACTTCAGTATTATAAAAATTTGTGAAAGAATAGAATTTCATCAACAAAATTCATACTTTGAAATAAAAATAAATGGTATTCAGAAGTTTTTATATAAACAATCAGCCTCTTGGCTTTTGACTGAGGAGAAGAATAGTTATTTATCAAACGACCGACTCTCTCGTGTTATTCAAAATAGTTATAAAAATTAAACAGATGCATTTTGATTACTTTTTGCAAAAGAGTCATTTTTTGTAAATAAATCTCGGTATATTCAACTATATATTGACAAATTTTCATTTTTTTAGAAGTAACCCTCATCCTATGGATTCGTTGATTCTTCTCTGAAAGAATTGTTCTACTGCTGAACATATTCAGACACATTGAAAAACGACTAGGGCATTGTGATTATTACTAGATATCAGCTAGACCATGATATTGTGTCCCACACGAAAATCAATACAAGACAAAGATTCTTCTTTTTTTCATGAATCAAATCAATCACCCATTTGTCAGAGAATAGTTTTCAGGTACTAGCTATGTTTACTAAAGATCCCATTGCTTAATGGTTAGTTATTCGTAGGTCTTCCCCTGGCCAGCCGCTCACAGCTACACATTAATCTTTATACTCTGTTTTTCTACTTTCACGAAAATGACATTGTTTTGAATATTTTCATGAAGGAATATGCATGAAATTCCTTTTAAAAGTCGTTCTTTAAGTATGATAAGGTTGTTCGAAATGTATACTTTAAAGTTAATCTGGAATGCTAACGCCTAGTCGTTCGTCAGCCTACCTTCGGTCGATCACTCAAGGCTAGCCGTTGTCTTCATAGTTAATAAGATACAATTACACTGACGAGTACACCTTTTGGAGATCTGTCTCCTGTAAAATTCTATCGAAAGACCTTACGTATCATAGTTCATGATACAAATATCATATTCAATAGGTAGTATTTTTCTGATTTCTTGGATGACAAATATGATAATGTAAGATATGCTAAATCTTTTCGTGCAACGGTCTACACCACTATTTTCGCACACGTCATATCCAGAAATAGCGTTGCATCCACTACCTTCTACACAAGATTTTAGAAAAAGAAAGGAAGAAGACAGATTTTAGTGAGCAATTAAAAATTAACAACGGATTCGAGTTCCTCGACTCCGACTACCTTACTAGTACTCAGTCTTTAGTGGCTATCGGTAAATTTCAATGATTCAAGAAATGCTGCTTTCTGGTTGGATTGGACAGACAGGCAAACTTTAAGCTTTTTGAGTCCAGGATTTAACCGCTGTATTATCTTTTCTTTCAGAAAAGGAAGTAAATATGCTGAAATCCTTTTTTTAGCTGGACAAAGTCCCGTTTCTAAATTTCGTTGTCCGAAAGACAGTCAATGTTGAGTACACCAAAAATACTGTCATCCATTATGCGGATGCGTTAATCATTGTGTTAATGCCACTTTTACAACTGATTAACTTAAAGACAATATCTAGCTTTTATCTAATTTATAAAAGATGCTAAAACGTATGAACTGTAAAATTACACTGAAGATGATTCACGTTGATTTCGTGTACATTGATTGGCGAATCGATTATTATACTGCTTGACACAGGTTCGTATGCCTAAGATAGTGATTGTTTTCTTTTGTTCTGTGCATAATAGAAAAGGGCTATCGAGAACACGTATACTCATTACATAAACGCACGTGGATGATTATGACGAACCTCTTTTTCACATACAACTACTGTTATTTCGAACACTGTTGATTCACGAATGGCGCATGACAAATCGAAGAGTGCTGAAAATGAAATATTAGATAAACATGGCGATTTGGAAGTTAATGCACCAAATCCAATCAATGTCGATCCTCAATTTATGGGTGATTATCCATTACCCAAAGCAACCACTTCAAAAATTCCTCAGATGGCTCCGCCAACTAAAGCAACAACTGATTCAGCTGCTGTCAATCGTCCACCAAAACCTCCCGGCCCTGCATTAGGTCCATATTTTCATTTCCTTACAACAGACCTAACTAAGATGTTGTGGATGGGCAGTGCATTGATTTTCCATCATATTTCATATCCTCGGCCGAAAATGGAATTTACTTCAGATGTAAAAGTTGATTACAATTGGGAAGTGTTATATGAAAATATATTCGACTTTAGTGCTTATCGCATCAATATTTCCATTGAATTACGTCCAGGAGAGGGTGACGATAAGGTCACTTGGGAAGTCGACTGGGGTGAACAAACGACTAATGGTTCGTTTCTTATTGCACGTTGTGATCAAAACTGGCGTGGAGGTTTTTTCTCGTGCAATGGCTTCGACTCTTCTGTTCCTGAACGGGTTGCATCCGATTTGACTTATTCCAACGTTTGGAATCATCTTCTTTCTGTTCACGAAGAAACTCCATTGCATTTGTTAATATGGGGTGGCGATCAGAATTATATTGACTTTATTTTCGAAGATATTCCCTTTCTTCGTGCTTGGGTCAACATGGATTGGAATGAAAAGTGGATAACGGATTTTCGAGATGACCTTCGAGAACAGGTCGAGCAGTATCATTTCTATACTTACGCAGAAAATTGGGAACGTCGGCACGAAGTGAAACGAGCGCTTTCATCGATTCCCAGTGTGATGATGTGGGATGATCATGACATTTTTGATGGTGCGGGATCTTATCCTCCTCTACTGCACGATAGTCCTATGATGATGGGACTATTTTTAGCTGCGCAGAAAATGCGACTCTTGTTTCAGCATCATACGACATTCGATAGAGCACGTGATCATCAGTTATTCGGGTATCAAGGATATAATTTCTTTGCTCGTTGCGGCCGACATATAGCCATTCTCGGCGCTGATGGTCGGACCGAACGTGATGTCAAAACAGTCCATCATCCGAAAACGTGGGATATGATCTTTGATAGGCTCGAAAATGACTTGGATGGCGTTGAACACCTAGTAGTAGTATTTCCTGTTCCATTTTCGTTCATTCGCTTTCATGTCGCTGAATCAGTTACTGAACGCGTAAAAAATTTTCCTAACAAATGGCGCAATACTCGGCTGATCAAAAAGAGTAATTCAATTTTTAATCTTCCGGAATTCTATGATGATCTTCTGGATGAATGGATTCATCATGAACATATTGAAGAGCGAAATCAAGTGCTCGCTCGTTTCCAACAGTTAGCCGAAAAGAAAAAAGTTCGAATTACTTATTTCAGTGGTGATGTTCATTGCTGTGGTGTCGGACGTTTCCAATCGATGGAACCCGATCGACCAGCACCTGTGAATGACGCTAAACTGATGTATCAAATTATCTCTTCCGCAATTGTCAATATGCCTCCATCTCGGATGGCCATTCGTGCCTATCATTTGTTCAATACTCATTGGAATCCGGTCGATCGTACGGAGGAGGAAATAATCAGCTTCTTCGAAAGAAGACCGGAGAATGCTAGAAAAGTAATTCATAGAAAACTCCGTCCAAATCGAAATTGGTGTTATTTTGAACGCATATCCAACCCAAATTCATCAGCTGTTACCGTTGTTCGAAAACACGGTCTTCGTATCCATTCATCTAGAAAGCACCATGTTCTGCCAATTAACTTAGGCGCTACTTCGAATAAAGAAGGTGAAGGTAGCCAAAAGCCTCCCATTCATGTTCATTCTCATCATGGAAGGTGTCATGAACGAATTAACGAAGATGAACAACAGCTCGGAGACGATGTTTTACATATTCAATTATGGTTAGAAAGCGCTCGAAAACGTCGACAAGGCAGGCGATTCAATAGTTACAATTTACTTATCCCGAATCTCAAATAAACTTCCATTGTTGTACAATTTTTCACTTTATAATGTAATCCAGTATATCTATAATGACAGTAACTCACTTATCGATGCCGAAAAGTTCACGGAATAAGTATAGACTATTTACATTTGCATCGCGGCTAGATGTCACTAAACTTCAACGATCTAAAACACCTTCGACGACTTTCCTATTGAGTTTACTGATGTCAACGTTCTCTGATGTTTCTTTCTGAGCGTACCGAGAAATTGCGTTGCTTATTTCAATCTTAGAGAACAGACTTAGTACTTGGAAATTTAGCCTATTCAGGTGCTTTATTTGTGGTACTTGACTCAATAATTCTGAATTTCAATCCTTCGAGTATGATAATTGACTGCTTGAATGAATATTAAGTATCTGCATGTTTCAATTATTCGTACTCAAGTGTTCTATATTACATCCACGTATGTAATCATCGAGAGAAAGTCAAATTCTCGCTCACAGAATGCTTTTCTGACTCTCAGATTAATTCTTTAGATCAATGGAGGCTCAATATTGAGAATTTTTTTATTAGTGCACGGAACGAGCATGAGGACTTCCAAAATACTCAAAAATATGTAATACTAATGATTCGTACAGCAGCATTCAAAAAGGGCACATCCACCGCGTTTGTAGCCTCTGTCTTTGCATCCGCTATTGCATGGCCCTCCGCCAATTGGACAACCAAAACCGATGAAACAAGCCCCACGACGTACTCGAAGTGTTCGACTTTCACCTTCAACTAATACCGTCTTGACTGCTAAAACAATACGTGCATATGGTAACATAGAATCAACTTATAATAATTCACACATGTACTTACAAACTGAGAAGCTCAGTGTTATGAGAAACACAGCAAGGAACAGTAGTGGAACTGGTCGCATTTGATCACTTAGACAAAGGTAATATCGCTGAGAGCTGCTCGGTAGTTGATTTAAGAGTGCGAATATATCCGTGTGCATTTTTGGCTTCTCTTATATACACGTCGCTGAGAGGTGATGTATGAAAAATTATTTAAATCCTTCTGTCAATACTGGTAGGAGAATATTTATTTGTCTGTAGAACAATATTGTTAACTTTCGCAAAACTCTTTTCAAAAACGATAGAAATACGTAGTATAGACTTTAATTTCTTCTAGTAATCAAGTCTCTGTACAACATAGGACTACAGAGATAAACAGATCCATATAATATGCGTAGATCATCTCAAAGCTCATGATTCATGATTTCAATACACTCGTGCAATTTAGCTCATTTACATTTTCCGGAAGAAAGCATTTGGTGAATGAAACTTGAATACAACCATTAAATTTCAATAATAAATATTGGTACCTACTCACAAAGAAAGATCCTCAGACCTATCGCTCAATTTCGAATCAAGTATACACATGCTAACGCTCGTAGTACGTTTCATGTTTTGCTGAACCATACCAGAAAAACATCAAGTTCAAAAACTTGCTGCAGCAATTTGATTCTTTTATTTTTAAATAGCAGATCGATAGCTATATGTAGTTGTGTTATTTTTCATACTTGAGTGTTGTCTATGTACAATCTTGAAAGTGCATCTGCGTTCATTATTTTCAGCTAATCAAGTGCTATATGGTAATGAAAATGTCAACACAATCATTACCAACATGTCTGTTCATAGAAATTGTCGCTTTGTTTCTGAATATTCCGAAACCGATCGGATTTGCTGTCATGGCTAAACAACATTCTCACGATGAAGAACATTTTAGGTAACGCTCATTCTATTTGTTCAAGCCTGTACAACATAAAATAGATGAATATTTAAGAAATAGAAGGAGGATCTCATTGATGGATTGATTTTATACAGCCTCCATTTGCATATATGTGTTTTGAATTAACCTGATTGTGTTTCCGCCAGAATCGTAACTGGTTTTTAGCTTCTTGACGAAACCGACTGGATGACAGCAGAAACATGTAACAACTTCCCTAGAACGAATCAAATATTTATCTACACCACTATAAAACTAAACATACTTACCGAAAAGTACAGATAGTATATCAAATTAGCCACCGTGGAAAAGAAATCTTCAATCTCCAGACGATTCTTGGACTTGCTCACATTCGATGTCATCAGCATATAGGCACCATGAACTCCATACTGAATGTAACTAATCAAGATCAATAGTGCTTCGATCAGAATCATTCGAACTAGTTGTCGATCGGCTTGTTGTTCAGCAAGTATGCGTGTCGAATGAATATTTCGGTACGCCAGATATCCAAAGATAACCATTATTGACACTGGAACAGTACAATTCAGAGTAATAAAGTATACCGATGGATAGTAAACAGCGAAGGAGAGATTATTACTCGCACAGATGTTAGTAATTGATGAAATATTGTAGAATACTAGAAATGGAATTCCATGACAAAACCACACAATGATCATCACGATTAGAATTCGATGCGCCAGTTGAATGTTACTCAAACGACGAAGAGAAACATTCTGAGATGTGGCAAAGTACTGATCGATTGTTGCCAAACATGAACAAGTTAAACTCAATAGACTGAGAGTAGCGATACAGAAGTTTCTGATTTTACACCAGCTAACGGATGTACGAGTGAGATCAATTCCATCACCCGACATAACTATACGTGAAACTAGATTGATCATGATATACAAAATATTGAAAAGAGAACCGATGAAAAAATAAAAGATGCAAGAGCTCGTGCGATAAGATCGACCGTTAGAGAATACTAAGATGTTGATTGTATTGCCGATGATTCCAGCAATAGCAAGAAAAGAACCAAGAAAGAGCGTGAGTTGCTCACCAATGTCCAATAACGAGATCATTATTGTCAGTATTTCAAGTATGATCTGTAAGAAATTCAAATAGGAAATGAACTAACAGCGTTGCCTTTTTATTCCATTTTTTATGCAGTATATATCCTACAGAGTATGATGCATAGTTCTCATAAAAAGGCACTGACATCCACACCTTCATTTCTAAGAAGAAATTAATTTAACTTTGCCGTGAAAATTCTTTTTTTGATAAATCTATCCTTCTTCTTGTACTTGTGGCCCCAATGGCTGAAAGTATCCGCATTATTTAATTAAAAATATGAGAAAACGATGTGAACGCGCTAATCTGTTTAACAGACTGACAATTACGTCGCACATTTCTCATCAAAACTGTCAGTGATAACCCGTTCATATTCGTTCTAAAGACATCTTCATATCACCTGCAACGTTCAACACTTGTCCAAAAGTAGAAGTCAAAAACTACACAATTTCATAGCTTCCGACTTTAACAAGAAAAGACATTCATTCAGTCCTATATGATCTTTTTTTATGAATCGAATGAATATGTTCATATTACCAAAACGGTGGTCAAAATGCGTGAAAGAACAAACGATAGTATGACTTGAATAAGAGAAGAGAACATCTCGTGATGATGAAAAGTCGCGAGAGGGTTGAACGGCTTATCGAGTGCCTAACAAAGTTGCGCTACACCCTTACGAATAATACAAGATACATGATTGTTTACGCAAAAGAAATCAGAGTTATCAGCAATAATTTAGAAACAGTGTTGAATATTTCTCAATTGTCACTGTAAATTTAGTTTGCCACAAATATGTACCAGCAAGATCAATGAATCATCCGGAAGAAAACGATTCGTCATATTACTCGAACATATTTTCCGTTTTAGTCGAATAAATCATCGAATAATATTGAGTAAGAACGAGACAAATGAATCACATGGCTAAAAACACTTACTACCTTTATTTATTTATTTGTCGTTGTGAAATTATATATTCACCAACCACGATCAATCAAATATCACGACATCTTATGTTCGATTGAGACAATCAAGTGATTGTTTGTTAAGAAAAATGGATGAACTTCTCGGCAATAACTTCGATCAGAACCGAGTTATTTTGTGTCTTCCTCCTGAAGATAAGCTGGATGCATTCAAGAAACATTTCAATCAAATGAATGTTTGTTATACAAATTTAGATTCGTGCCTACACTTCATTCGATCCACTGAAAACACAAAGAAAATATTTCTAATCGCTTTTTCTGAATCTATCGACCATCTTTTATCGAATATTGATGTCTTCAAACAGCATCGATAACTGTAAGTTTATTTATCACGATCAACTCAATATCATTGGCATTGTCAACCAACTCGATCGTTTATACGCATCACTTCAACAACAGCTCCGCGCAGTGGACGAAGAGAACTCTCACTGGATCGCTTATAATCAAACACATGCAATGCACAGACATTTATACAAACAAGCAAACGACTTCCTCTGGAGTCATCTGTTTCATAAAGTCATACACCCACTTTCCACATGATCAACTGGCTAAACAACAACTGCTCGACTTTCTTCACTCATCTATACTCAATAACAACATCAATACCACTTCGACGATGCCATCGGTTGGTATTGGAATCATCCAGATGTGCAACAAACTCTTGATAAAGCACTGCGAACACAAAATATTGATGACCTCTATCGTCTTCGGTATTTTCTTGGTGATTTGTTGAAGAACTTCACTCAATAAGTGCCATGCATTGTGTATCGATCAGTCGGACAAACGATTAAAACGAGTCCTGTTCGATTGACTCTCGACAGCCATGGACTCTCAATCACACAAAAGTATCTTCAACATGCAACGCAACAATGGGACGATGCAAGTATTGCACTTCTGTTTGGCAGGTTTCTATGCGACATGTGCCAATATGATGAAGCACAGAACTTTTTTCACTATCTCAAAGATGATCATTCTGCAACAGAAGATTTACCTTGGATCGAACAGTCACTTGGTCACATCCTTTCGTCGAAATGTCAATGGAATGAGGCAAAAGTCTATCTGGATCAATCTTATCATCGAATGATCAGCCATGAACCACTACAAATCAAAGATTCGACTGTTGTTCTCCAAAGTCTTGGTCAAGTTCTAGAAAGACAGGGAAAAGTGGAAGAATCGTATGAGTTGCATGAGAAAGCATTGTTGATTCGAAAGCAATTCTATTCCTTCGATTATCCACGCATTGCTGATAGTCTGGAGTGTTTCGGTCTGGTCGGCGAAATGAAGAAAAACGATGGTCAAGTTCTACATGTCATGGAACAAGCGTTGGCCATTCGAGAAAAGTATTATGGACATTTTCATGCTGATATTGGTCAAAGTTTGAATAAGATGAACGAATTGTTACTCGAACGAGGTGAACATGACAAAGCCTTGTCAAATCAAAATCGAGCGATGTCAATTTATAAGGAGTCGTATCCATGTGCACATGTGACAATTGTTGATACACTGATATGTATGAGTCGTGTTTTTCATTATCAAGCAAAATACGAAAAATGTTTAAATTTGTTATTAAAAACTTCAATGACGATCAGAAGATTATTCGAAGCAGGCCATTATAAATTTTCCCTAATATTATGCAATATCGGGCATATCCGACATAGGCAAAGTATATTTAATGAATGCTTAGAATTTTACTGTGATACATTCATGAGAGCGGAGAAATTTCTTTCATCCAAACATCTAGATATTACTTTGCACTTACGGAATATTCTAGAAAAATTTTATCCATCATACATTCTTTTGATTACTGATGTGGTCTATTGTATAGGAAACACGCTAAGTGAACAAGGAAAACTCGATGATTATTATATCAATGGCAGCGTTCAAGTAAGTCCAGTTCTTATCAGTGTTGCTGGTATTTTGATCAAACAGAAAAAAACTTGATAAACCACTTTTTTTCTATCAACGTGCAAACTATATAACAGACAAAGTGGATTCACTTAACCCAGATGAGTAATTACAAACTTTGAATTGCTTGATTCAGCATGCATGGCAGCTAGAAAGGAAAGTTGATTTCGAGCAAGCTGTTGCTTATCATCATCAAATATTGGAAATACAACGAAATTGTTATTCGAACTCTCATCAACACGTTTTACGCACTATTATGCGCATTGGCTCGTGTTACTAGCGTTGTCGTAGACACCATCAATCAAGGGAATCTTATTCTCAAGCTCTAGCCTTATGGAAAGAATTTAATCCAGATGAATACAATGATAATCTCACAACAGAAGACTTTCATGAATACTTCTTGACAGTACAGTCGTGTCCTTCTTTTGATGAAAAGAAAATAGACGATGCTTTATTCAGACTAGAAACAGGTTATCGAAGATGACGTGATTACGAATTGTCCCTCCAGTTTGAAATTCAGTGCTATCGAAAGCGTGAAAAACACCTCCCGTCCAATGACTTTTCTATTGGGTAAAGCTTAAAAAGCATTGTTTTTTGTTATGATCAACTTCATCAATTGAAGAGGGCGTTAGAATATTATTAACAAGCGTTAATCATTTACCAGAAATATTCATCTTACTCAGGGTGAGGATCAAAGAAAGATAATCATAGGAATGCTGTGAACATTGGATGGAGCTTAATTTCGAAGTATTTATAAATATTATGAAGGGTGATTTGTTGAGAACTGCTCTGAGCTCTTCACCACTCACCAAAGAACTTCACATTAATAAGAACCACAGTGATAAAGATATGTGAATATCCTGCTATATTATTTAATTGTTCTCAACAATGAGAGATTTTTATGGCTGTGATCACGTCAAATCATCATTCTATTACAGACTATCGATAGCTTGTTTGAACATCGATTTTGAATTCTATTCATAAACTATCCACTTCCTACTTTTTCGTGAAGGAAAAGCAAGGTAAAAGTACAAACACATGTGATATCATTACTGTTACAGTAAACAATTCGAATTACTCATAGCTGTATGACGTCAATCTATTACGTCGCTAATATTTTGTTTGTGTTTTATAATATAAACAACAGGTGATTTATGTTGGAAAAAGACAGATTCAGGCATGAATAAAAACATATCTTTTTGTGACATTCTAGCGCAGCTCAATGTCGATCAATAGTGTTACAACAGCAGGTACTCTTCGAGGAAGAGAGCAGGATCTCGATGGTGATTATTATGTTATTTATGTTAAAGTCAATAAAGAAGATTCATCTGATTCGAAACGTTTCAACACAGCGGACATGGGACGATTAAAGCAATATGTGAAAATCACTAAAGTATTCGATGATTTAACTAAATTTCATAGTTATTTACAAACGATCAGAAATGAAAAAGTACTTTTAGTTTTGGCCATAGGAAGCACATCGGATGAAAAGTGGTGCAAATTTAATGAAAACATTTTTTCAAAAATCGGTTTCAGCACAACCATTTTGAACCATCCGCAGATTCTTTCGATTTCTATTTTGGAAAATACTAAGTTTACAATTTATAATATGTTATATCCGTTTTCATTACGAAAAAATGTTCTCAAACGAAAACAAACAATATTCACAACAAATAATCAAACACAATTATGGAAGAAAGTCAAATCGTTCACCACTGCTCTTTCCACTATCGATATCATCTGTTACGACAAGTATGAACTGAATGAACCCAATGCGACATACCATGAACTCAATCGTTCATATTTTCCCAACTACACGATTTGTCGGAACATGTTTAGTGCTTTAAATTGCGTCACATCGTCTAGATTCCAAACTGTTATCCTGATTGTTGTTGATGAAACTATCGAAAAAATGATACAGAAAATCAATAACGATAAATATGCTTTTCTATTGAGGACATTGTCATCAATTTATGTGTACAAACTGAGTGATACTCGTCCATCATACATTCGTGAAATGACGTTCTTCCTTGATCGAGACGATCTAAGCAATGGTTTGATGAACGATATCATCGCAGACTTGGTTATTGTTCAAAAGCCAAATTATTGCTTTTCATCGGATAAAAATAATCAACAAATGTCATTGCGAAGTTTGAAAAAAATTCAATTTGCATTGCAGACGGAAGATTTCAGTTGCCTTCCGCAGATACCATCGGCAAAGTTTGAAATGTTCGAAGAATGTCGAAGACGATATGAAAAAGATAAAACCGAGTTAAAGAAAATCGCAGAATTCGAAAGAGATTATTTCTCCATGTCGCCGATATTAATGTATACAAGAGACAGTTTTCTCTATCGTTTACTAAACGATGCCTGTCGGACAGAGAACATTGATATGATGTACAAATTTCGGTATTATATTCATGATCTTTATAAACAGCTCAGTCAATTACATAAAGAATTTCTTTCGTCTTTATCGAATTCTGATACACTTCATCTTTATCGCGGCCAATTGATGTCTCGATGCGAATTTGAAAATCTGCAACAAAATATCGGTCAACTCTACTGCACAAATACATTTCTCTCAACAACGATGGACGCCGCTGTTGCTTTTGCGTATTTTTCATCACCAGGAGATGTTCAACAACCTGACGTTGTCAATGTTTTATTCATTTACACAATTGACACTCGTCTTCGACATACGAAACCATTTGCTTCGATTGAAAAAGATAGTTGTGCAGCAGACGAAAAGGAAGTCCTGTTTTGCATGGGTACAGCTTTTCGTATCGATTCGATTGACAGGTCGTCTGACAATCACTTTTGGAAAGTCACAGCAACACTAGTCGAAACTAGTGAACCTAAGTCAATCACGGAAGTACTTATGAAATCAGATCATTACAACATTGAGATTAACAATTTACAAGAAGTTGAACGTTGTTACCAAGTGATTATTGATGAGTATTTTGATCATAACGATACTTTTATTCGAGCACAAATTGGCATCGCTCAGATCTATACCTATAAAGGTGAATATTCAGCAGCAATTGAACGTTATGAAAAGGTAATTTGGAGAAGTCCAAAATTAAATGATAAAATTGAATCTTACATTAAAATTGGTCAGATTTATCGACATAGTTTTGAATATATAGCATCACTGTCAGCGTATCAAGAGGCACTACAATTGAGTGAAGATAGAAATTCGATAGAGTATATTCAATTGCTTATTTATATTGCTGATGTGCACGAACTACTAAAAGATTATAATTCAGCTAAACGACTCTATACAAAAGCTCTTGGTGTTGCAAATGTTCCAACAAATTTACATAGAATGTGCCAGACACGTTTAAATGAGATGAGCGTCAAAAGTCGCCTGCTCGCGGGTTCAATTGTTCTTCTAGTAATACTTATATTACTTATATTTATGGTTTGTTTTTTCACCGCAATGTATTTCATATTTAAATATTGTCCTCAAGTAATTTTGGAAAAATATAATATAATTATGGCTCCTCTTGCGTGCATGCTAAAACCAGGTATGGATATAGTATCAAAACTTGTAATAATATTGTTTAATTATTTTGGCACTCTTTTCTTAAACAAACGCGAAAGTTTTATTGTCTATGAGAAACAAGTTACAACTGTAGTGTGGCTATATATGCTGTATGTCAACATTTTTGTTACTTGGCAACTTGCACCATACTTATGTTCATACATAACAATACCAATTAATGTAATGATTATGAGATTATATCTTTGTTTTGTATCATTTTTTATTGAATTCGATTACTACACACATGCAGCTGTGTGTGGTTGGTTTTTACCGGTGCATGATGTTCCTATTTTTACGGTATGTCATTGGTTACTTTATTCTACGAAGAAACCTGAATTTATCTTCCATACTAATTATATTCTTTACCTAAAGACACAAATTCGTCAAATCGAGTGTTTAAATCAATTATTCAATCGCTTTATAAATTTATTAAGTTGTAAAACTCGATTTTATTTTCGTATTTGTTTATTTATTCTATTAGTTATGTATAAACCATATGCACTTCTTCATATTAACCACGATCTATCTGAAAAATGGATGGTATTCATCTGTATATATTTAAGTATTTGGTCTCCGAATCCTTTACCGCATTACTTCTTCTTACCATTATACCTCTTGGGACAAGGCGGTTTATTCTATACATATATATATATATTATATCCACCACAAGCACTTATATTTGAACCTCTTTTTGAAATAATGAAAAAACGTGATGAAGAAGAGAGAAAGATTAATTTGCCTGTTGGAACAACGCATGGAAAGACGATTGAACTGAGTTATATTTCATCCTTATATAATCAAGCACAGAATCAATTCATCAAGCAGTTTTTAGAATTCCCTCCCATGACTGGATCTGATTTTCTTGTACAGACAGAAAAACAAAAGCGAGCTATTGATCATGAAACATCGCAATTACAGATCGTAATTCGTTAATTATGTTTTAAGTTAGTGTTATGCTTCCAATCTGTTTAAAACAATTTCTTCAACTTATAGACTTTTGGTAACATTTACGCTGATCGTATTCGAATCGCTTGAAACTTTCAAATTTTGTAGACCACGTAGTCCTCTACAAATATTTTTCAACATAAAGAAATAATCTATCTCGTAAGCTATATATTAGTTGTAATGTATTTGAGTTTTGTCAAAGTTTTCATTGAATTATACGTGCATATACCTAACTCATCGGTCGAAATTTAGGGTATAACCTTGTGATGAAAAATACTAGGCCGAAAATACATTTCGCACTTGATACACCTAGTTCAAAAGATTCTCAATTTGAAGTTCATTACTTCTCTGTGTTGAGGAAATTCTATAGAACACTGTGCATAAAGTGATTGAGATCATATAGATTATCTACACAATATCGTGTCAGATCGTGCTTATGTTACAAAAAAAAAGAGAAACACTTCTTCGATTAAAAGGCTTCTCAAAATTTGATACATCATTGACCTATTACCCCACTTCGTAACTTGATAACTTTTCCAATAAAGAGGTGCCACAGATTCATACAGAAGTGACAAAAAGAAAAGATTTTACCTAGGATTGAAGACTAAGTAAGTCTCAGGAAAACTCTTTTATTTGAATAATGGCATTGCAGATCATAGTACCAAAATCATAGATGTGTTCTTCGTGAAAGTCATCTTTCACTTCAGAGGTTTTGAAAGGGAGTAAAAGAAAGGCTATCTCGGACACCGTAGAAATTGAAAAGAACTTCAATTGAAAACAGCTACGGTTATCAGTCACATCCACACACTTCGCCAATATTTAATGTTGTTATCTTGTTCACAAAGATAAACGGATCAAGAGGGATTGATCCGATTTTGTTTTCGCCAAAATAAAAGTTGCTTTACGGCTTCTTGACGAAACCGACTGGATGATAGCAGAAACATGTAACAACTTCCCTAGAACGAATCAAATATTTATCTACACCACTATAAAACTAAACATACTTACCGAAAAGTACAGATAGTATATCAAATTAGCCATGGTGGAAACGAATCCTTCAATATTCAAACGATTCGATGATTTGATCATATTCGATGTCATCAACATATATGTGCCATGAACTCCATACTGAATGTAACTAATCAAGATCAATAGTGCTTCGATCAGAATCATTCGAACTAGTTGTCGATCAGCTTGTTGTTCAGCAAGTATGCGTGTCGAATGAATATTTCGGTACGCCAGATATCCAAAGATAACCATTATTGACACTGGAATAGTACAATTCAGAGTAATAAAGTATACCGATGGATAGTAAACAGCGAAGGAGAGATTATTACTCGCACAGATGTTAGTAGTTGATGAAATATTGTAGAATACTAGAAATGGAATTCCATGACAAAACCACACAATGATCATCACGATTAAAATTCGATGCGCCAGTTGAATGTTACTCAAACGACGAAGAGAAACATTCTGAGATGTGGCAAAGTACTGATCGATCGTTGCCAAACATGAACAAGTTAAACTCAACAGACTGAGAGTAGCGATACTGAAGTTTCTGATTTTACACCAGCTAACAGAGGTACGAGTGAGATCAATTCCATCACCCGACATAACTATACGTGAAACTAGATTGATCATGATATACAAAATATTGAAAAGAGAACCGATGAAAAAATAAAAGATGCAAGAGCTCGTGCGATAAGATCGACCGTTAGAGAACACTAAGATGTTGATTGTATTGCCGAGGATTCCAGCGATAACAAGAAAAGAACCAAGAAAGAGCGTGAGTTGCTTACCAATGTCTAATAACGAGACCATTATTGTCAGTATTTCAAGTATGATCTGTAAGAAATTCAAAGAGGAAATGAATTAACTACGTTCACTTGAAGTGTGTAATCGCTGAACTGCGACAGCGCGCTGAAAAACTGAATGTATACACCAGTTTAGTTGTTTTACTCTTGTCGTATAATATATCTTTTAGTTAATAACAGCTTTTCTTTGCAAAAAAAAACTAACGTTTCACCAGTGTAAAGGAAGAAGATGGTAGATCTAGTGGCGCAGCTATCCTTTCATAGAAATACACACCCTGCTCTCAATTATATGTAGTAATGAACAGAATCTTAAAGAGCGACTTCCAAAGTGTCACATACTGATATTTCTTGCAGGTGCCACACGTCTTTTTAATTTTTTCTTTAGAGGCATAAAATGATACATCCTGGCTAAACGGATCAAAATCCGTGTTTGCAGAAACATCATCGACACACGATGTTTTCTTGATAATAAGGATGTGTGTGTAAAAGAATCTTAGTTTTTAATTAAAAGTATTAGCGGGAGAAATAAACTCACTGATTCGTCTGGAGAACGTAACAATGTAGGCCCGACATTTTCTTTATCGGACGTATTATACCAAGAACAATGAATAGTTAGATCATGCTTAAATAAAGTCAAATTGATGATACCAGAAAGTGAGTAGCGAGAGTAAATATCGCAGAAACAAGAGACCGTCCTAGGACAAAGATCACGAACATGAAAATCATTTATTTCAAAACAGAAACATCTCGACGGGTGATCAATGGATGGATGTGATCCTGGCCATTATATTTACTACCGCCTAAGTACGGTTCATTGACGATATCGTATATAAATTATTATACAAATATTAGTTATAATATTAAGCAAAGGTGGTACACACTCAACCATTATTTATATATAAATTGATGTCCGCTGATCATTCACACAATACTAAAAACATTTGTTGTGAAATGAAATTCCATTCAGTTTGAATATGTTGTTACACGTACGGAAACGTCTTATTGAGAGAGCTGATAAACAATAACTTAAGACAATCAATACAATTGGAATTGATAAGATCACTCTAAGAGATGTTAGAACAGTCAAAACTGTTTAGTGAAAGTAAACTTAGAGTACGGTACAATCAAAATAATGACAATTACAATGTTAGTTCCATGGAATAAGCATCATTATCATTTGAAATATCTTCACGAAAATTTATTTTGGGTTGATTTTTTTAGGAATTCACGTAAGAAATATCGAACTTGTTTTTGGTTAACACAAATCGATTATTTTCGAGGTAGATACGCGTATCGAACACCTCAGCACCATGCTTCCACTACGTTTATTAGATTTTTAGTAATCTTTTTCAATTATATTAATCGAATACAGTATAGAAGATGAATTACATTGGAGTTAATAAGATATGTACTGGATTTCTCGATTGTTTACATGTTGAGCTTAAGCACTCATTTTAACTGTCAAAAGTTACAATAACAAACATTCAATAATTCATATAGCACAGTAAGAAATCACTTGATGAACATTGTTCTCCATCCGGAAAACCACCATCACTAAGATTCGAATCAAGTTGTGTCGTATTACGCTATACTATATCGTTCCTGATATACTCATTACGACATTTATTTCAAAATACCATGTTTTCCGTGCGTCTATATTGTTTATATGATGACTCTAGTCGATTATATCACACTCCTATTAATGTACATATCGTAGTATTCTCTTTTATGATTTTTTTCCCACCTTCCTGTTAAAAGTCCAGTTATATTATGACTGTATCAAACTTGAGAGAAAATATGACAAATCTATCGTAGATTCGACATACATGTAACATTTTTTCTCTCTCCAGACTTCTCAAAAATAATACCTCGATAAATATTCACTTTTCATTGCCTCTTATTGGATTGTTTGTTCAATGTCTGCTGGAAAGGAGAAAAGTCATGATTTGAAATTATTGTAAAGATTATGAGCGAGGCACGCTAAGTGGTTTATGATAATGTTATCAATAACCTTGCACTTTTGCATTTTGCATGCTGTCAACATTGGGCACAAGTGTTTTTTTCTTCTTCAACATGCAAACCGCTTGAATTTCTATACGTCAACGTCGTCGTCCGATCGGAATGTTGTCAGTCAGTTCTCTTTCTTCTTTTTCTCTT